TGTATATATATATATATATATATATATATATATATATATATATATATATATATATATTTACATATTTATATATATATATTTGCTGTAATCCCTGTATAATTATAGGTATGCATTTGGTTTTACGTAATTTGTTCATATGACTAAGTAAACTCTAGCATAATAGAGTAGTTATAAATTACGTAGGAATATAAGGAAAACATAATCATTTAGTGAAATTAAAATTAAAAGCACTTGGATAGCGATCGATAGTTTTCTGTAGATGAAATCTATGACTCGAGAATTCAATTGAATTCATAAAAGAGTTGGTATGCGACATAAATGATAGAGCGAAAGCAATAATAACGAATTCAATAAAGGCAATGCAACTTATTTTCTATTATATTGCTTGAATCTTGACTTTTAAGAGTCAATAAAATTTGGTGTCAGAAATTTTTATTTTCAAACTCCTTATTTATTTGTTGTCAAGTTTTAATTACTGTTGCTAAACTATGACCATTGAAATATCTTACTTATATGGTTGTTTATTATCTTGCTCATTGTTTTTTTATTTTATGTCACTGGATAAATGTTTTTGAGGATGTTCATTATTGCTAATAATTTTTATTTTAAATTATTGTAGTGAAAAATCTATTCAGGATATGAACTGTTTGAGAAATTAAATGTATACAGTATAATTGTAAGTAAATGAGGGGTTTGTCATTGTAATAGAATATTTATAAATGAAGAATTGGATTAATGAGTTTAAAATATCAATTTGACTTTCATGGCAAAACTAGGGTGTCGATTAGTTTTTTTTTAGAATTTAATCTATCTATTTGATATTAACAGAAAAACTCGTCCATCAATTATATCATCTACAGCAACTCATTTATCAATTTGGCATTAATGACACGTAATGAATTTTACTGAATTTTATACGTCAAACTCATTAAATACTTTGTTTTCTAGGTACATGCATGAAAGATTGCGGACACATGCGGAATCTGTTGCTTTTTTCGGGGGTGGAGCTAGAGAAAGAGAGGTATTTGTCCTAGTATAACTAAATTCAGAACTATCAGACTTCTCGCGAACCAGCTTCTGTATTTTTGTGAAAGAAAATTATTGCAATCATTGGATAAACCATAAACTCCATCATTATTCGTGCTTGTGGTGTAATTTTTTTTTCCGTGAGCTTAATGTATCAGAGTGCAAAGGGTGTGACATAATTATCCTAGTAACAAAAAAATGAATCAGAAATCCACGTGTCTTGTATGCCAAGTGACGTCATAGACTTAAATGGCAGCTGATCTCACCTTACTGTGTTACTTACATTTTGACAACTGTACTTTCTTTCAGTCTTTACTCTTGATTTTTAACTGTGGCTACTTTTTATAGATGATCGAATCAAGGTTTGGAGCACTTTTTGATCACTCAATGTTGCTTCTTAAGAAGAAATGGCTGTTTGGTATTGTAGACGACTTCATCACAAAGCAACTTCCCCATAACGTAACCTGGGGATTGAGCCTGTTGTATGCAATGGAGCACAGAGGCGACCGAGCCATGACTTCAACCCAAGGTGAAGGCAATTCATTGTTATTTCAATTAGAGTTATACTTGCTGTAACTGCTTTCATCTATGGTAAATTCTATTTCAGGTGAACTCGCACACGCATTGCGGTTCTTAGCATCCGTTGTTTCTCAGAGTTTTTTGGCTTTTGGTGATATTCTTGAGCTACATAGAAAATTTCTGGAGCTTTCTGGTGGTATCAACCGAATTTTCGAACTTGAAGAGCTTCTAGATGCTGCTCAACATGGTGCGTATTTACTCTTGTTTCTTGCTTCTATTATATGGTTGCTCTTTGAAGATGTACATATTGAAATAGTCGTTTCAGTTTAGTATGTTTAACAAACTATCTTCCCAATAGAATATCCACCCTTACCAATATTATTCTCCACTATAATGTGTGCAATTTCCACACTTGCACTTGACATCATGTTAAAGTAAATTTTGTTTTGATAAAATGTTTCAAATACCAACATTTAGCTGCATTTCAAGATGAACTCTTCAATTGATCATTTTTTAACGGTTATTAGTTCATTTGTGAATCTCTATGATCTTTTCCTAACTGGGTATAGTGTATTAAGCATGAGAGCAGTAAAGTTTATCATTTTAGCTTTAATGCATGTTCTTCAATATAACTCGATGGAGGTTGCCTATTCAGGCTGACGTGGATGTATTTTTGCAGGAGATTCCTGTAGTGGTTCTTCAAGATCTAAATCCACAGTACTTGACTCGGATGATATTATTTCTTTCTACAAGGTGGATATTATCACACCAACTCAGAAAGTTTTGGCTAGACAGTTGACATGTGAAATAGTTCCAGGGCAAAGCCTGCTTGTTACTGGTTGGTAGATTCAAGATTATCTTCTTTACTGAAGTTACTCAATATTTCCACAAGTTAAGTACTTAACTATTTATTTTTTGACTTTTTTTTAAAGGTCCAAATGGAAGTGGGAAGAGTTCCATTTTCAGAGTCCTTCGAGGCCTTTGGCCTGTGGTTGATGGAAGGCTCATTAAACCTCACCAACAAATTACTTCTGAATCCGAATGCCATCTCTTTTATGTGCCACAACGACCATATACATGCTTAGGAACCCTCAGAGATCAAATAATATATCCTCTCTCTTGTGACGAAGCAGAGAAAAGGGTGTCACGTTTGGTTGAAGAAGGTAAGTGCATTCATTCTTTCTATTGTTTCTAGATACGCACATGTTATCAGCATATGTTTTTCACATGCATATATGGAAATGCTCTTTCAATTATTTCAGTTGCTTAAGATAGAATACGTAAATCGTCTTCATTCATGAGTTTGATTTCTCCAAAGTCTATTTCGACCTAATATATCTACCCATTAATCAAATATGAAATCATTAATAAAATAATGTCGAACTTCATCTGTTTCAGGCCTTTTCTTTTCTATGAATTTTGGCGATTGAACATTTTTGGTTGTGTAGCAAGTACATACATTTTTTTTACTCTTATTGTGCAATCTGTCTTATATTTAGCTACCATAGCAAGTGGTTGCATACAAAAATTACTTAATTATGACTGGTAACTTATTTTTTATAATTTCCGAGTCTAGGCCATGAATCAGTTGGGCCCACAGACATTCTGGATGCACACCTAAAAACTATTCTAGAAAATGTTAAATTACTATATCTCTTGGAGAGAGAAGGTGGATGGGATACGAGCCAGAACTGGGAAGACATTTTATCTCTCGGGGAACAACAGCGATTAGGCATGGTGAGTTATTTTATTTTATTTTATTTATATTATTTTTTATGGTGAATTCACATTTGTTATTATGTATTTCCACAACTACTGACATAATTTTCACTGTTCAACCAGGCACGACTGTTCTTTCACAAACCCCGATTTGGAGTCCTTGATGAGTGCACCAAGTAAACATATATTACCCAATCTTCTTTCCTCTCTTGCTACGATAGATGAAAACCTAATTGATTTTATTTTACTAACCCCTCTCTTTCGATTGATATTTCGAAAATATAGTGCTACAAGCGTTGATGTTGAAGAGCACCTCTATAGGCTTGCAAGTGACTCAGGGATCACTGTCATAACGTCCTCTCAGGTACTTAAAGCAGCTAATTGGTCGATTATTTGGCCTGCATTCTTAGATTTTGCTTGGTTAAATACATGCTACACCTAGTGAATCGTACACTGGTTAAAAGAGTTTTATCTCATTCAGTACCCATCTGTTATACCGAAATTGCTAAAAAACTCCTCGTGTTATAAATATTAGGGAAAAAATAATCCTATGATGTCCATAAATGGTGCTAATAAAATTGAACTATAAGAAGGATTCTGCTAGTATTTATAGCATGGGAGTTTTGTGATAATTAGAGTAAATATATGGGTGCTAAATGCAATAAACCCCCGGTTAGAATATGTTGTTCATCTACACCCACGCACATGTATGTGTGTGGATGAACGGTTACTAGATCGTACTATTGCTTGTGCGGTCAAATCTATGCTGCACGTGGTGAAGTGGGTACATCGTGTAGATCTTTATCATTAATCTGCGCACACACCAACATGGATATGTGTGTTTGTCTGTGTATGAATGAATGGTAAAAGATCTAGCCAGTGTATTTCAACTCTTCATGCAATACATTTCTTTACAAATTTGCCTGGTAATAATACAAGTAACTGTTGGACTCGTAAAATTAATAAGTCGTATATATTCCTTTTACAGCGCCCTGCTTTGATACCGTTCCACTCGGTGGAGCTGTAAGTGAGTGTGTGTGAGAGTAAATGTGAGCTTCGAAAAATCAATCTGTGAGTGGACGTGCATGTGTGTCTTTTTACTTACAACGCTGCCAGAATCATACGTACACGTCCATATATGTATGATCGTTGCAGCTATTGCTCCAGCCTTCTGGCGTTGGCTCTTGCAAGGGAGTGATGAACATAAGGAAAGTGAAAGAGAAAAATCGATCGATTGTGTGAGCTGCAGAAATGGACATAGATACATACAAAGAAAGAAAGATACAGAGATAGAGATATATATATTTCTTTTTTTTTCTTTTTCTGCCTCTTTCTATAGGTGGATGGGCAGAAATATATATATATATATATATATATATATATATATATATATATATATATATATATATATATATATATATATATATATATATATATATATATATATATATATATATATATATATATATATATATATATATATATATATATATATATATATATATATATATATATATATATATATATATATATATATATATATTTGTGCTGGTATTTCAAAGACGCATTATTTGATCTTGCATTTTGATGAAGGCAGATTTGAGGTTGGTTATGGAGGAAGATGAGTTTATAATATAATAATTTTTTTTTTTATAATTATCTCAAATATTTACATATTTCTAATATATATTATTTTTAGTTTATTTGTAAAAAGGAAAAATCAAGCATGATGTAAGTAAAAAAATTATAAACATACTAACACGTAGGGCTGACAATCGGGTGTTGTGAGCCGAGTCTGAGTTGGCTCAAGCTCAGATAGCATCGAATCTCGTTATTACAGGCTCAAGCTCAAATACCATTGAATCTTATGTCTAGTGGTTAACAAATGGCCCACCCGGCCCGCCTGCGGCCAATGAAAGATGGCTCATCTGGGCTGAGGGCTAAGCCAATACGGCCCACTACTTTCATGGGCCTGCCCTGCTGGCCCATAGAGGAAAACCATGGGTCCAGGCCCATGAAAGCAGTGGGCCGGATGGGCTGAGCCCAAGGGACAGATGAGCCGATTTTCAGATCCATATATATATATTTAATTTCGAATTCATATTCTTATATCTGCAAAACGCCAAAACCATATGATTCTTCATTACTCTGTTCCACTTTTTTCATATCTGATTATGTATAGTCTAGGTTTTTAACTGTTGTTAATCCATCGGAGCTCTCTCTACTTTGAATCCGACCATTCCACGGCGATAAATCTGCATTCGTTTGATTTTACGGCCATAGACACTCCTCTACGCCGCCGCAAAATGGAAGAAATCGAGCACTCTCCCCACGATTCCGCCGCCGCCGAAGACCTCGATCGCAAGCACTCGGCAATGCAGTAACAGATAGTTATCGAACGCAGTCCTTTTGTCAGCCCGATAAGGAGCTGAATCTGGAAACTGAGAAGCTAGGTTTTAGGGATTTGAATATCTCTCCCGGTTTCAGAAACAGAGAGAATGAGGTACTAACAAGGAATTTACCCGAAGCGATTCGGAGGTTCGAAATGGAGAGTTCACACTGTCGGATTTGAGGGATTGTGAAGTTAGATTAAATGGGTGTTTGAGGGCATTGTTTATGGATAAGTTGATTAACTGCAAGGTTTATGTTGGGGTGGTAATGAGTTCGGTTTTGATCGAGGGAGCGGAGGTGTGCGTCTTCGTTTTGGGGGCGCATCAAATTAGGATTCATAATGCGAAAAATTGCGACTTTTATCTTCGAGTGAGGAGTAGGCCTATAATCGAGGATTGTAATGGTGTTAGATTTGCTCCGTATTGTTCGAGTTACAAAGGAATAGAGAAGGATCTTACAGATGCGAATCTTGGTGAGGAAAATGGGAATTGAGAGAATTTAGATGATTTTCGTTGGTTGAAGGCATTGCAATCTCCTATTTGGTCGGTTTTGCCGGAAAATGATCGTATAAGTATGGTGGATATATCGAATTTGGAACGTGTTGTGAGGGTGAGAGACGGTATTTCGAGCTCAATCCTCTCCGTTCTCGAAAAACATGTAATTTTTCTCCTTGCATTTATATTAATTTCAACCAGTTATCGTTTTAAAATTATGCAGTGATTGTTTTCAATCTGTTGAAAAGAGAGATCTTTCTTTGTTCTTGATAATTCAACTATTTCGACATTTGTATCGTTGCGGATTAGTAGTACTCTTGAATCTTGATGTTTGAAATATTCGTCGTTGAAATCCTTAATTTATGTCTTAATACGACTCATTAGTGCGACATGAATGTCAAATTTTGTGCTGACATAGTACAATCTTTTTGTTTCAGCGCTCGTTGTTGAATTTGCAGGATGTAAAAATTGAATTTTATCGTCTTACATAATCGGGAAATTCTTGTACGTTGTCCTAGCAATATGAAGCTGCCTCCGTCTGACAATCCCATCTTAGGTATTGATACGCGTAAAACCTACGTATGAAAACCGCAAGTGTACAGTATCGCGTTTTGTAGAATAGTGAATTCCAGATATCGATCCATAGGGAATTAAGTTCCTAAATCTACCAAGTACCGTAATTATACTATCCTACACTTTATCTAGACGATCGAAAGGGTGGGGGATGAAGCTAAAAAGAGAGAAACAATAATAAAAGCAACGGTCCGCCAGTAAAAGCGATGAATTCCGACGTGTGATGGCTTCTAGAGTAAAATCCACCAGTGTACTATCGATAAAGATCTACAAATCCGAATCTAATGTCAATTCTATATTCGCTAACCCAGACACTAAAATACCCTAACCCCCGTCTCCAGTGTAGTTAGAGTCCACCCACAGGTCCGACGTCTCCGTTCAGAACCTGATATTAAGAGAGCATTTAGGTCAAGTCCTTAAGGGCTACCCGAGGTGCATCACGTCTCCGTTTCCACAACCCGAGCTATGTTTTCCTAAAATCAAACGAGAAATCCTCTCTCGAGTTCATTCCCATTTACAATCAATTCAACTGTTGGCCAAACAATCGAAAGCATTTAATACATGAAAACATAAACAGAATCAAAGAACGACAAATAGATCACAGATCTGGAAATCAAAATCAATATATACAAGGTTTCATTTCCCTAAAAGAAAATGCTTAGTTCATTACAAACATAGCATCAAAATGAAGAACACGAGAAATCATAAACTAAACGTAAATAAAAAGCTTATGAAAAACCCGAGTCGAAACCCTCGTCGAAGCTTCCCGCGAAGAACTGGCGAGAACCGAAGAAGAAGTCGAAGAGTCGGTCTAAGAAGTTCTCCTGTTGAAGAGTGGGGCTTGTTCTATTTATAGTAAGCTTTGCCTTTTTAGATATTTTTTACGCATCCCAAGGCCATATCGCGATATGGGAAGCAGTATCGGGCGATATGGTAAAATTGCAAGCTCTCTGTTTCGTTTCTCCCCATATCGCGATATGGAAGGTAATATCGCGATATGGTCGCTGCAATAACTTCAAACTCTGTTTTGACCCTTTTGTAGCCCGAATTTGACAATTTTGCATTTCACATAAGTTGTAGCCCTTGCAGTTGGCTTTCTAAATCCATTTGAATCAACTCAATCGGAGGTCGTATGAAAAAGTTATGCATAAAACACCGAACGCTGCCACCATCAACTTGATTGCAATTTTTTCACTTGATTGGTTGGTTCTCGGCTTCGCTTCCAAAATCGTTTCGAATCGACAAAAATAGCTTCTCTTTACCTATAATAGAAATAAAACAAGAAACGCAATAATATGTACAAATAACGCCGAAACTCGGACGAACGAAGACCAAAACTCGAAGATTTGATAAGTAAAAATCGTGCAAAATGAACACTTATCAGGTATTCATCTCTGATGCAAAAAAAAATTCTGTTATGAACACGATTTCAACGGTACGCACAATTATACTAGTTTCTTTCATTAATTTTTTTTTTCTTTTTTCTTTGCTTCCGTTTCAAGGTCCAAATGGAAGTTGGAAGAGTTCCGTTTTCTATAGTTACAAATCGAAGCAGAGAAAAAAGGGCGTTGTATTTTATTTAAGGCGGTAAGTGACTTTGTTCTTTCTATTGCTTCTATCTCCCTACATATATATATATATATATATATATATATATATATATATATATATATATATATATATATATATATATATATATATATATATATATATGCACTATGAAATGAAACATCTATTGAATAAATATCGAAAACGGGATATAGTTCATCTCTTTCTTAACGAGTATAGATATTCTCGTGTGTTTATCACATGCAAAAAAAATCCACGAGATATATTGTATCACTAGGTGGTGTGATTTTCTTGCATTTGTTTTTTGCCCTGTTTCTTTCTTTTTCTGAAGTTGGATATATAACCACTTTGTGTTGTGGATTCTTCACTTTTGCTAGTGCACCTAAGTTGATTTTCATATCTGGGCTTATGGGTGGAAATTGGAACGAAATATCAGATTTCTTCCGATTCTTTTTCTTTTTTTTTGCCTTTGGAACTAAATTTTTCATTCCGAAATCCGATTATTCAAATTTTTTTTTTTGGAACGGAATGGGATACGTATTAAAGAAATATTTTTGAAAAATATTTTCGAGAATTCGGATTATTTTCTGAAAATTACGCTTATAATATCAATGTTATTCTATATTTAGTGTCATGGGGACTAAAGAAACATAATTCTCAATCCGAAAATTTCCAATTTTAGAACAATTCTTTTCATTCCTGTTTCAAAATTCCAATTTTCAATATTTTTTTTTGTGTTTTTTTAACGGAATTGTGATTTATTTATCACTTCCGAAAAAATTGTAATTTTTCCAAGAGTACCATTTCCGATCGAAATCCGTCCGAATTTCGCCTCTATCTTGGGCTAGTTCTAGTCAATTTCTTACATCATATATAAAACCAGGCTCTATCTTATCGATGCTACATCGGGTGATACACCCAATCGAAGACACACACACACACACACGCACATATTGAAATAAAAAAGAATATGTGTGTGTTTTACTGGTTTTCTTTTTCTTATTTGTGGAGTATAACATAATGAAATAAAAAAGAATTGTGTCCCTACTTTTTATACATAGAAAAATTGAGTTGAGTTGAAGCCAAAAAGTTTGTAACTTGAAAACACTTTTGTGGAAGAGGTCACACTTAAAGAGGATTTAGAGAACCTTTGAATGATACCAAGAGTTTATAGTATTTAAATTGAATAGAATCATTCAACTAAGGATTCATTACTAATCTCCCACTCATTCATTTTTACACTCTATTTAATTAGATTTTGGATAGACCTAAATCTCCCTTCACCACTGCTTTGCATTCTTAATCTCCCACAATTAGTGGGTAATTGTCATCATTAGTGACTAATGTAGCTTCCTCATTAAAGTACCCCCCCATTATCACCCCC